ATCAATCACTGATTTGGAAGTAGGCAAACAGAGCAACACCTAATATTCCATTACCATGGGGTGGACATTGACTGACGGAGATCTGTTGCCTGTTTTCATGACCATAGACCCTGTGCCAAAGGGGTGTATGGAGATGATTTCATGTCACTGTAAAAGTGGCTGTGGAACACTACGTTGTGAATGTGGGAAGAATACCTTGGTATGTACTGGAGATATGTGTTGTATGAGCCTGACACGATCTGCATCACTAAAAATACTGACCAATTTTGTGGGTATTTCATGGAGACTGAGACAATTATAAACATATCTCTCTTGTATACTCCAGCATAAGTTGTATTATACCAAAAATTTTGTAAACAATTATGGCACACTGCTTTATGCATAAACATATGCTGTATGTAATTGACTTGGTGGCATGATGACAGCATTAAAGCACGATCTTCAAATTCATACTGACATCTTCAAATATAAGACATACTGTATGTACAGAATTGTTATAGTTGTATTTTTTCATCCGTCGAAACATAACTTAGACACTAAAATGGACTTACTACATGTTTCACAAGCAGCCATATGAGAAAATGTACTATAATGTAATAGTGACCTTTTAGAAATTCTCGAAAGAAGTTCAGTATTGTCACATACATTATTAAGATATCATAATGGTATTCTCCATCCAGGAAAACATAGGTATGGCCACATAAATTAACTTTATAGTTGACCGAGAAGCAGAGATGTTGCTGTTATGATATATGTGATAGCGGCCATTTTTAATTGGAATTTTGAAGCATTTACACTCAAAATTTAGCTTGATAAACCCATTTTTTTAGTTCAGGAGGACAAAATACAAATAACTGGCTACGTTACCTAATTTTACCCCAAAAGTGCCACGACAATCACTTTAGGGCTTTCCTAGAACATTCTAACATTCAGATAATTCTAGGATATAGTGAGTATTCGACTTCATTGAACACGGTATACCATGCAGCGTTCGGTTACCAGTTCAGCACAACATTCTGGCACTGTCATCATCAGTCAATCTAATCAATCTATCTTGTTATCTTACATTACTGATCATTTGATGATATCATATCATATTACCTCAAAATTCACGGAAATGCTGAAGTCTTATCTGATAAATTAAAGATGTAAGTCATGTAACATTGTACCGAACAGATGCTGCATAGTTAAGGTCAAGTCTTCGTAAACTATGAAGTTATTTTTTCGATATATATAATTTTTTTTTTTTACTTTAGTTTAAATGAACCAGTTATATGCATTCTTACATCTCCTGTTATGGAAAAGTATTCATTCCAGCCTAAGAAGTTTTGGTAATTAATCTGACCCCAGGTGAAGTGTCTCGTAGCTTACAAGATACGTGAAGACAATGAAAAAATAATGTACTGTACACAAGACAATGAGGAAATAATGTACTGTACATAAGGCAATGAAGAAATAATGTACTGTACACAAGACAATGAAGAAATAATGTACTGTACACAAGACAATGCGGAAATAATGTAAACACAGTCCAGGTATGAGAAGGTCACTCAGGTGTAATTTCTGAGTTGAATTCCAGGTGTGAAGACTTAAGCGAGAGTAAGAAGCCTCACAGTTGCATGATGGTGGAGAGGTCTAAATATAGCTGGTAATGTACCTGTAACATACACACTCGTCTAGATTATACTGGGTCAAGAGGCAGTGTGTGGCGTGGGAGGACAACACACACACACTCACACACACACACACACACACACACACACACACACACACACACACACACACACACACACACACACACACACTTCTAGTTCACAGTAATTTTTTTCGTGTCCTGTTACACTAGAGGCAAAATTCTATTTGTTTTTCTTTTTCGTTGGAGGACTTTGAAAGCCTTGTATCTTTTTTGAGGCCTAAAACCTCTAAGAGTAACTTCAGATGTTGTGAGTGAGAAATGTTAAGGTGGGCGGGGATGGCTGGTGGTGGTGAGTGTTCCCATGTTTCCCTCCGTGTTCTGTACTGCCCAGCACTCCTCCTCTTCCTGTTCCCTTTGTTCCCACTTTTATTTATTGTTGCCTCGACTGTTGCATGTTTATATCCTTCTTATTTACTCCTTCGGTCATTCAATATCTTGTGGCCTTGTGTTCATATACGAACGTGAACAAAACTCCTGCCGTCTTTTCTGCTGCTCCACGAACCCTGAAATTCGTGAACCCGAAGTAATAAACACTGATGTATTATTCTGTCCATAAATTCTTCGGGTTCACGAGTCTAAATCTCGGGGTTCGTGGTTCAGGAGAAGAGGCGACAGGAGTTTTGTTCGTGTATGAACAGAACATGTTGCACAGGTCTCATGTATGTCTTGTGGCTCTGTGTACGTACATTGTTGCACATCACTCATGTATCCGTCCGTCTTGTGGCTCTGTGTACGTACATTGTTGCACATCACTCACGTATCCGTCCGTCTTGTGGCTCTGTGTACGTACATTGTTGCACATCACTCATGTATCCGTCCGTCTTGTGGCTCTGTGTACGTACATTGTTGCACATCACTCATGTATCCGTCCGTCTTGTGGCTCTGTGTGCGTACATTGTTGCACATCACTCACGTATCTGTCCGTCTTGTGGCTCTGTGTACGTACATTGTTGCACATCACTCACGTATCTGTACGTACATTGCATATCACTCATGTCTGTCCGTCTTGTGGCTCCTGGTACGCTCCATTATTTTTTCCTCCTTCGTATCTGTCATCATGGCATTTCTGTTGCAGCCATTAGTATATCCTCAAGTATCTGTGTCCGTCTTGGACTCCTGGTACGTACATTGTTGCATATCCTCAAGTATCTGTCTCCGTCTTTGCGGCTCATTTTGCCATTGTTGCATATCACTCCAGAAGTATCTGTCCATCTTGTGGCTCTGGTACGTACATTGTTGCATATCACTCACGTATCTGTCCGTCTTGTGGCTCTGGTACGTACATTGTTGCATATCACTCATGTATCCGTCCGTCTTGTGGCTCTGTGTACGTACATTGTTGCATATCACTCACGTATCTGTCCGTCTTGTGGCTCTGGTACGTACATTGTTGCATATCACTCATGTATCCGTCCGTCTTGTGGCTCTGGTACGTACATTGTTGCATATCACTCACGTATCTGTCCGTCTTGTGGCTCTGTGTACGTATAAAACCTAACTTTATGCTTGGAGAAGTGAAGGCAGTTGAGTACAGTGCCGACCACTGTCTCATTTTGAAGGGAAGCTTAGTGTGCCACATTACCACAGTATACTGTATATTCACCCAGATGGATTTTTTATTTATTTCCATCAAAGTTCCATACGAGAGTCATTCCTCCATTTCTGGTCTGTATCTATCTATAATTGTAAAAATAAAAATACTGACAAAAAATATAGCTAAATCAATAATGGCTTGAATTTGTGACATTCGTAGGTCAGTTTAGAACTTGTATTTAATCTATTTCAATTGAAAGAGAAAATTGTAGATTGGCCATTTTAACTATCTTTAACCCCTGTAAAATGATAATATTGACCTTGAGTATAGAGACAGGTTAAAGCATCTTAATTTGCACTCCCTTGAGAGACGTAGAGCGAGGGGCGACCTGATAGAGGTGTATAAATGGAAGTCAGGGCTAAACAAAGGGGACATTTCAAAGGTACTCAAACTATCCAACCAGGAGCGAACTCGTAACAATGGTTTTAAATTAGACAAATTTAGATTTAGGCGCGAAATAGGTAAACACTGGTTTGGAAACAGAGTAGTGGATGAATGGAACAAGTTACCAAATATCATCTTTAACTCGAGTACGTTGAATAGCTTCAAACATAGGTTGGATGCTTATATGAGCAATAGGGGTTGGGTGTAAACGGGACTGCCCAGTATGGGCCAATAGGCCCGCTGCAGTGTCCTCCATTCTTATGTTCTTATATGAAAATGTTACCACGTTTATTACTTCGTTTTTCGTTAATTAATTAATTAATTTACTTATTACATTTAGATTATAAGTACATACATATTTTACAATGGAGTTGAAATACATAAATATGATAAATGAGGGAAGCAATACAACATGGGTTGTATTAAGGTGAAACAAGGGGAGAGAAGCCGTCAGTATTATGTCTCGTCGGCATATATATATATATATATATATATATATATATATATATATAGTTATTGAAATGGTAATTTGTATTTAACCACATGACAATGTATGTAATAATGGTTTTGGTGGTACAATAAAAGCTTGGTACTGACCCCGGTCGTACATGTTAATTAACGTAAACTCAGACGTTTCATATTACGCTCAATAGCCCACAAAACATGTAGCTATGTCTTTATTATTGAGTCACCCATCTAAGAAGTCCGTTTTCTCACTGCTCGGTACACCTGAGTCCTCCGTGTACCTCAGAGACTCCAATATCTCATATAGAGACTATATATCAAAGTTATCCCAAACAGTTGTTGGACGAGATGCTGGTTAGTTCCTTAACAAAATTAAAAGAGTCTTTAATAGAATATTAGTTATAGATTATTGGTGACAATATGGCACCAAGGAATTTAGACAGATTGTAGTTGAAGGTGCCGAGGGCAGACAATATAGGGAGTAAGGGACACTTACCCTTGTGTACCTTGGGTAGACCCTACAGGATACCTGGTTTAGACCCGCTAATAAAGAGTTTTAAACAGGAGTCATTAATGACAATCTTGTTTTTAAATTTACGAAGAAATCTGTTTATCTTGTCCTCGTACTGAGAATTACCTCGTCTAGGATGTGGGCAAAATTTTTACGGTCATTAAGTATATTCAATATTTTCTGAATGTAGGATGGTTTGTTAAGTACAACAACCCCATCACTCTTGTCTGGTTTAGTAATGATAATATTGTCGTTGGATGCTAAATTTTCCAGTGCTAGAAACTCTTCCTTAGAGAGAGCTTGTTTGGTGCTGAACGAGTTGTATGAATAATAGGAGAGAGTTAATGAAATAATGCAAACATTTTATACTGGATCATATAAACTGAGAGGAGATAATATCTTAAAAAGTCTCTCAAAACCAAGTAAATGGTTTAAAAAAAAGTGTAATTTGTGGTGATTAAAAGCAAATTTCAGACCTTTAGATAAAGCTCGTTGTTCTACTGTAGGGATAGATTACCGTCGTGAACATAACTTAAAAAGTTCAGCTAATCGTCAGCTTGGACATATGACGATTAGCTGGCACGGAACTGCAGTCTTCTCTTACGGGATGTTGGCTTCTACAGTCATAATCAGTTAATTTCTGAGTGGCTTGGTAGTGCTCTTCTTGATACCTTAAGAGTCCTTCATGTACAGGTCACTCGGGTAATAGATGTGTTGGTACAGCTGAGGGGCATAGTTGATTTGATGTTTTGGAGGAGAAAGGGAGCTGGGGTGGCGTTCAGGGTGATGGTACATATAGGGTGAACTGGTCACGTTGATTTGGTTGTACTGGATGGCGGCGGTGGGTGGGGTGAGAGTGCTGGGGTTGGTGTATGGACGCTGGTACTCATAAGGGGAGCTGGACTTCTCAATAGCCGCATAGGAAACTGGTACCGTGGGGACTTCACGTCTATCATTTGCTGTAAAGAACAAGAATTTTATAGTAAACCATGTTTGTTTGTTTTTCATTTCAATAAGCATAATAATAATAATAATAATAATAATAATAATAATAATAATAATAATTAACGGTTTATTAAGATAACATGGCAACCTGAAGGCTGAAACTATACAATGAACAGAGATGATAAGTTACATATGGTGACATCGGGGAGTGGGACTGACAAAAGCTTTCAATACAAAAATATAAGAAACATAGAGTCAACATGTAGATTAACTATAGATCTGGTACTGTGGGAGCTGGTCTGTACACATTCTTGTGGCCTCACTGGATGGCCGTTGTGTTATACCTGGGTGCTAAGCCGCTACCTCACTACAGCTGCAGATGTACTACGTGGTCCGGGTAGGTCCTCCAGCTCACACAGGGTGTTGGAGATGGTTCTTGTTCCTCATGTGATGTAGTTAGGAATTCATAGTTCCTCACCTGGGTGGAGTAGGGAGTCCTCATTTCTCTCCTGAAGTAGTTTGGAGTCTTTCTTGGCTTCTCATCCCGTGGTGGTGAGTGTACGGAGGACTGGATGTGTTAGATCTGCGTCAGGTCAACATTGACCGCTAAGCAGTAATTGTCACTCTAACAGTTGTTTCTTTCTTTCGAGTTGAAATTGTCACTTTTGTTTATCACTTGTGGGCTAATCGTCAATCTTTGCACTGTACTGTTGTGGGAGGATGGGCTAGCTACCTCCATGGTCAAGAGACCACGGGCAGCGCCGACGTCCCCACCTTGTGAAGGCTGGAGACGTGGTGTGCATGTGTATGTTTGTTCATGAATGATCAGGTTTCCTGGTGTCAAGATTGAAGTATGTATTAAGCCTTTAACAGATATCATGGCATATATTAACATGTTAGCCGATCCAATAAACCAAACGGTAATAAGACATGGAGTGTGGTGACCTATTACCCTCAAACTTCTCAACTTTAATAACAAATTACAACATTTTATGGGCGCTTTTCCTAAATAATTTATGTTAAAACGTGTGTCTGCAAGGACGGACAAAAACTGCGGTACGTGAAGCAACTCCTCCACAGGCACAAGCAGGGCCGGTGCAAGATGATTTGGCGCCCTAGGCAAGCCTTTAGATGTGCGCCCCCTTGAAAGTTTTGATAAGCTAATGTAGGTACAGTAACCCATTACTACATTGTTTCTAACTCTCGAAACACCACTGATATTATATGACAAACAAATAAGTATATAAATAAATAAGTCTTTTATTGTAAGAAAAATTTAGTGGACAATTATTTGTAATGTTGACAATCGTGAAACTGGAGATTAGCTTTTACTGTAATGGATACATAACCAAATATATTCTACAAAACATATATCAAATTATTGTTGAAAAAAATACAATCACTAGTACACACTCACGCAGTACATACGTCCACTAGTACACACTCACGCAGTACATACGTCCACTAGTACACATCGTAACACACGTATGATAAAACTTGACGAAATGACGAGAAGCACTAAGATTGAAACAAAGACTCGCTAAGGTATATCCCTGTGTACAGCATTATAGACAGAGTACAAGATCAATCAAATAACTACATACATTATAAAAATAATAAGACAGTTTCAACTTACTGTTTAGCAGGATAGCCAGCTGTTGAAGTTGTTGCCACTGCACCACACTTTTGGAGATGACTGACTCGGACTGAAGTGGCCTGGTCACTGGTGTCTGTGAGTATTCTGGACAGCTTGAATCTTGATCTCCAACTAATCAAGTTGTTCAACATAAGAACATAAGAACATAAGAACATAAGAAAGTGGGATACTGCAGGAGGCCGACTGGCCCATACAGGGCAGATCCCTTTCACACCCATCCCAGCACTTCCATGTGCCTATGCTCTTGAAGCTCCCTAGCGTCCCCGATCCTACTATAGCACTCAGTGGTCTATTCCTATATCCTAACTCTATTCCAAACCAGTGCTTGCTATATCCTTTCTGAATCAGGAATTATCTGGTTTAGCTGTTCCTGGATTATTTTGATTTATTACTGAGGACTTCAGGGCATCTTCATTTTACCCTTGTTAATCCCACTTACCCACTTGTGCACCTCCATCATATCTCCCCTAACTTTCTACTTCTCTCTAATGAATAGCAGCTAAGCACCAGTCTTCTTCTTCCATATGGAAGGTTTCTAACTCAACATGGGATCTATTTTACATGTTCTTGCTGTACTCTCTCCAAAGATCTATATCATTCCATAATAAGGACACCAGAAACTGGGCCACCATCCATGTGTGGCCTCACTAATGCTAGTAAAGTTTCAAAGAATAAGGTCAACAGTTCTGTTACTCACAGACCTGGGAATGCGAACTTAAGAATCCTGTTTTGCCTTGTGCAGAACTGCTAATACGTGTTTTCTAGGTTTAAGTCATTGCTAACAAATACGCCTCGTCTTTTTCACAAACTGAGTTTTCTATTTCGTGTTGCCTAGATAATATATAACGTTTGTATTCGTCTTCCCTATCTCAAATTACATTTATCAGTGATAATCAAATTCATTTGCTTGATCTACTGATCTTTCATGTAAGACATCTGGATCTCTTTGAGTCGTTTCCAGGATCCACTGTCTGAATTCTCTCCCCCGACCTCTCTCAAATTCTCTAGTTATGCCCCTAAATCCAGATAGTAATATATAACTGCGTAGCAGAGAAGCTATACAGGAGAATCTAGAACTGCTGACCTTAGTCTGACTTGAAATGTTGCTGCCTGGCTGGCGGCTCTGGTCAGCTGGCCGGATCTCAGTGGGATTATGTTGGGATTAACTGAAGGTCAGGTAACCTTGCCTCATCCCGACAAAGACAGGGAAGGGGCGGCAGTAAGGGAGGGGAGGGGATGGTGGGGTTGGGAGAAGGGTTCCTCAGATGTCAGCCTTCAGGTCACTGCTCGACAGTTCTCCAGGCCGCCAAAGATAAGGACCCGGGTTAGTCCCTCCGGGGGGTTAACGAATAATATTAAAAAAGAAAACACAGTCGGCTACCGTCTACCTACCCTCGCCTCCCTCCGACCCCCCCCCCCTCCCTTCTAACATCCTGCTCCGACCCTCCACGGCTCCACCACAGTGTCCACCACAGTTTTCCCTTCATTTTTAATTTTATCCAAGTTTGCCCTGAATTTGTGGCGCCCCCAGATTTTGGCGTCCTAGGCGATCGCCTAGTTCGCCTAGTGGGTAGCGCCGGCCCTGGGCACAAGGCATCACTCAACAGAAAAAAAAGCTGTCCTCCTTATATAATTATTTATTCATTTAAGTCAGTGGTTCTCAACCTGGGGGCCATGGCCCCCAGGGGAGCCACAGCGAGCTGTTATAAATTGTACGTTTCCAAATAATGTTGGGAATCTGAATTAAACAAAACTTGTATTACTTATTTTGACTTGGCAGAAGAGAATTTTCATTCTTTTTTTGTCAATTTGTTTAATCATAACGACAATACAATTTTAATATTTACAAACTCTGGTGCTATTTTTTTTTTTTTTTTTTACGGATTAGTTAAGATTTCACAGGTCCAGTCCCTGTCTGTGTGACAGGCGCTGGACCGAGCTGCTGAACTGACTTGTTCAGTACGTGTCCGTGTGTCATCCGTTTGCAAGTGGTGATAGGACCGAATGATATCAGTCTGGCCTGGGATACCATCACGAGAACAGTGGAGTGTATTGACTCTGAACCATATATTGTGTTTGAGCTTGACTCAAGCATAATACACTCCGTAATTGATGTTACTTATTTTGTTTCATAATTCATGTGGTCGCTGCTTTAGGTGGGTGAAATATTTGTACACTTCCTTTATTAATTATTTCCTTATTTATTGGTGCCATTGTTGTTCATGCTCATTCTTTACTTATATAATCCTACTATTTTTAGTGCTAAATTGGTATGACTCACTATTCTTCTCATTCTTCCAAGTTGGGCAGTACTTGTCAAAGGAGGCGTGTTCTTGCTTACAGGAAGTATTGTACACTTCAGCTTGCTAGCTTGAGTGTGAATGTTTACCTGTGTGCATGCTTGTGTATGACTGTGTGAGTGCATGGACGTGTTATGCATGTGAATGTGTGTGTGTGTTTGCCATTCTAAATCTTGTCCTATTTATCTGTCCTTCTTTATCATTCTTTAGTCTTTATCACTCGTTTGTTTGTCTGTTCTGGGAGAAAAATGATGGAGGCCACGAGGATGTTGAAAATTCCTCAAGGTGGGAATGGAGTGAAAAGGGTTGAGTACCACTGAATTAAAGAAACAACACTTTGCTGATTAACGAAAGTTAGCGTCAGTCAATGAGGTGTAAATAAGGAAGATGGATCTCAGGAAATTAAATTATACAGGTATTTTGATTAATGGGTAAGCGGAGAATCAATATATATTTGCCTTTCTTTCCCGGGTACAGATATACATAATATTTCACATTCCTGCTATCTATATATTCATGTTCATTTTATATAAGTAAACCTTGGGTGAGGGAGATGTATCACTGAACAATAATATGTTTCATACTTTCTTGCATCCTACAATCTTTAAGTTTCAGGCTTTTCAGACACAAAAATTTAGCCACTTGTTTTGCACATTATAAGCGAAGGCAAATTAAGTATAGTATCGGAATATCTACAACTACTTAACTTTTCATTACACTTTCCTTCATCAACTGCTTATGTAACATGGAGAACAACAAAGCACCAAGCAAAACTTACTGTACTCTATTGCTCCGAACTGACGGTCAGGAACGATTTTCGTAATCTTGTCCATGTTGTGTATGTTAACACCAACGCTGACTGCTGGTTACTGAATGAATCCTGTGACCGTTGCCGTATAAATTGAACTCGTTTCCATAGTTGCATTCAAGTGATGAAATTGGTGATAAGAGTCGTATTTACGTCATAATGTTCGCCCGTTTCTTTCCCAGCTGATAAAAAAATGCCCTGCCCCTCAAACAGCTGATTGGCTGTTGCAAACCTGTCCGTTTCTGTCCTGAATTAATGATGTGTTTCTAAATGAGTTTATTCATAATCGTTGGGATGACCGTTTCTGACGAGAAAGATATTTAGCAAAATTATATAAAGATACATACATTCATTATTTCAAACATAAGCACATAGGAAGTTTGTCAGAAGTATTATACAGGAATTAACTGTTAAACTCTGGTAGCAAATTCAGGCTTTCGGAGGATGCATTTAATATATACTTATTTTTACCCACAATAAGGCATACTAAGACAAAATACGTATCAGTAATACTACATTATGCAAAAACTACATTTTAAAAGACCATAACCTGTCTTTACCTACCATAACCTGTCTTTACCTACCATAACCTATCTTTACCTACCATAACCTGTCTTTACCTACCATAACCTGTCTTTACCTACCATAACCTGTCTTTACCTACCATAACCTATCTTTACCTACCATAACCTGTCTTTACCTACCATAACCTGTCTTACCTACCATAACCTATCTTTACCTACCATAACCTATCTTTACCTACCATAACCTGTTCTTTACCTACATAACCTTCTTCCTACCATAACCTCTTACCTACCATAACCTGTTCTTTACCTACCAACCTATCTTTACCTACCATAACCTGTCTTTACCACATAACCTGTCTTTACCTACCATAACCTGTTTACCTACCATAACCATTTTACCTACCATAACCTATTTACCTACCATAACCTGTCTTTACCTACCAAACCCTTTACCTACCAAACCTTCTTCCTACCACCACCTTACCACCATAACCTGTCTTTACCTACCATAACCTGTCTTTACCTACCATAACCTGTCTTTACCTACCATAACCTATCTTTACCTACCATAACCTATCTTTTACCTACCATAACCTGTCTTTACCTACCATAACCTATCTTTACCTACCATAACCTATCTTTACCTACCATAACCTATCTTTACCTACCATAACCTGTCTTTACCTACCATAACCCATCTTTACCTACCATAACCTGTCTTTACCTACCATAACCTATCTTTACCTACCATAACTATCTTACCTACCATAACCTGTCTTTACCTACCATAACCTGTCTTACCTACCATAACCTATCTTTACCACCATAACCTCTTACCTACCATAACCCATACTACCATAACCTATCTTTACCTACCATAACCTGTCTTTACCTACCATAACCTGTCTTTACCTACCATAACCTGTCTTACCACCATAACCTGTCTTACCTACCTACCTATCTTTATCTACCATAACCTGTCTTACCTACCATAACCATCTTACCTACCATAACCACACCCCATAACCCATCTTTACCTACCATAACCTGTCTTTACATACCATAACCTGTCTTTACCTACCATAACCTGTCTTTACCTGCCATAACCTATCTTTGCCTACCATAACCTATCTTTACCTACCATAACCTGTTTTACCTACCATAACCTGTCTTCTACCTACCATAACCTATCTTTACCTACCATAACCTATCTTTACCTACCATAACCTATCTTACCTCCATAACCTGTCTACCTACCATAACCATCCCTTTACCACCAAACCTATCTTACCACCATAACCCACCAACCTGTCTTTACCTACCATAACCTGTCTTTACCTACCATAACCTGTCTTCTTTACCTACCATAACCTATCTTTACCTACCATAACCTGTCTTACCTACCATAACCTGTCTTTACCTACTATAACCTATCTTTACCTACCATAACCTATCTTTACCTACCATAACCTGTCTTTACTCACCATAACCTGTCTTTACCTACCATAACCTGTTTACTCACCATAACCTGTCTTTACCTACCATAACCTGTCTTTACCTACCATAACCTATCTTTACCTACCATAACCTATCTTTTACCTACTATAACCTATCTTTACCTACCATAACCTGTCTTTACCTACCATAACCTGTCTTTACCTGCCATAACCTGTCTTTACCTACCATAACCTGTCTTTACCTACCATAACCTGTCTTACTCACCATAACCTATCTTACCTACCATAACCTATCTTACCTAATATAACCCATCTTTACCTACCATAACCCATTCTACCACCATAACCCATCTTTACCTACCATAACCTATCTTACCTACTATAACCTATCTTTACCCACCATAACCCATCTTTACCTGCCATAACCTGTCTTTACCTACCATAACCTGTCTTTACCTACCATAACCTGTCTTTACCTACCATAACCATCTTTACCTACATAACCTATCTTACCTACCATAACCTATCTTTACCACACCACCCACCATAACCTATCTTTACCTACCATAACCTATCTTTACCCACTATAACCTATCTCTACCTCCATAACCTGTCTTTACCACCATAACCTATCTTTACCACATAACCCATTTACCTACCATAACCTATCTTTACCTTACCATAACCTATCTTTACCTACCATAACCTATCTTTACCTACCATAACCTGTCTTTACCTACCATAACCTATCTTACCTACCATAACCTATCTTACCTACCATAACCTATTCTCTACCTACCATAACCTACCTTTACCTACCATAACCTATCTTTACCTACCATAACCTATCTTTACCTACCATAACCTATCTTTACCCACCATAACCTGTCTTTACCTGCCATAACCTGTCTTTACCTACCATAACCTATCTTTACCTACTAAACCCATCTTTACCTACCAAACCTATCTTAACCTACCAACCTATCTTTACCTACCATAACCTATCTTTACCTACCATAACCTATCTTTACCCACCATAACCTATCTTTACCTACCATAACCTATCTTACCTACCATAACCTGTCTTTACCTACCATAACCATCTTTACCTACCATAACCCATCTTTACCTACCATAACCTATCTTTACCTACCATAACCTATCTTTACCTACCATAACCTATCTTTACCTACCATAACTCATTCTACCTACCATAACCTATCTTTACCCACCATAACGTCTTACCTCCATACTCACTTACCTACCATAACCCATCTCTTTACCTACTATAACCCATCTTTACCCACTACACCTATCTTTACCTACCATAACCTGTCTTTACCTACCATAACCTGTCTCTTTACCTGCCATAACCTGTCTTCACCTACCATAACCTATCTCTACCTACCATAACCTGTCTTTACCTACCATAACCTATCTTTACCTACCATAACCTATCTTTACCTACTATAACCTATCTTTACCTACCATAACCTATCTTTACCTACCATAACTCCATCTTTACCTACCATAACCTATCTTTACCTACTATAACCTATCTTTACCCACCATATCTTTACCTGCCATAACCTGTCTTTACCTACCATAACCTGTCTTTACCTACCATAACCTGTCTTTACCTACCATAACCTATCTCTTTACCTACCATAACCTATCTTTACCTACCATAACCTATCTTTTCCCACCATAACCTATCTTTACCTACCATAACCTATCTTTACCTACCATAACCCATCTTTACCTACCATAACCTATCTTTACCTACCATAACCTATCTTTACCTACCATAACCTATCTTTACCTACCATAACCTGTCTTTACCTACCATAACCTATCTTTACCTACCATAACCTATCTTTACTCTACCATAACCTATCTTTACCTACCATAACCTATCTTACCTACCATAACCTATCTTTACCTACCATAACCTATCTTACCCACCATAACCCATCTTTACCCACCATCTCTTACCCCATAACCTGTCTACCTACCATAACATTACCTACATAACCTATCTTTACCTACCATAACCTGTCTTTACCTACCATAACCTGTCTTTACCTACCATAACCTGTCTTTACCTGCCATAACCTGTCTTTACCTACCATAACCTGTCTTTACCTACCATAACCTGTCTTTACCTACCATAACCTATCTTTACCTACCATAACCTTCCTTTACCTACTATAACCTATCTTTACCTTACCATAACCCATCTTTACCTACCAACCTATCTTACCTACCATAACCCATCTTACCTACCATAACCTATCTTTACCCACCATAACCTATCTTTACCTGCCATAACCTATCTTTACCTACCATAACCTGTCTTACCTACCATAACCTGTCTTTACCTACCATAACCTATCTTTACCTACCATAACCTATCTTTACCTACTATAACCTATCTTTACTCATTAAACCCATCTTTACCCACCATAACCCATCTCTTACCTACCATAACCTATCTTTACCTACCATAACCTATCTTACCCACCATAACCTATCTTTACCTCCATAACCTTTCTACCTACCATAACCTATCTTTTACCTACCTAACCTATCTTTACTCACCATAACCTATCTTACCTACCATAACCCATTCTACCTACCATAACCTATCTTTACCAATCATAACCTGTCTCTTACCTACTATAACCTATCTTTACTCCAATTATAACCTATCTTTACCTACCATAACCTATCTTTACCTACCATAACCTATCTTTACCTACCATAACCTATCTTTACCTACCATAACCTATCTTTACCCACCATAACCTATCTTTACCCACCATAACTTGTCTTTACCTGCCATAACCTGTCTTTACCTACCATAACCCATTCTTTACCTACTATAACCTATCTTTACCTACCATAACCTATCTTAACCTACCATAACCTATCTTTACCTACCATAACCTATCTTTACCTACCATAACCTATCTTTACCTACCATAACCTATCTTTACCTACTATAACCTATCTTTACCTACTATAACCTATCTTTACCTACTATAACCTATCTTTACCTACCATAACCTATCTTTGTAAATTCTTGT